TGTGTGGATCATATGGACCACATTGAAACCTTCGTATTACGTATCCGCAGTGTGGCTCTGGCAAAATTATTTAGTAAGTATATGTTTTAAATTATTCTGCTTAGTAATTATTATTTTTTTAAATTTCCCATCTTTAAAACAGCCTGTACCTGTGGTTATAAGTTAAGTAATGTATGCCATAGATCACATGGACCACATTTTATCCTTCGTATTACGTATCCGCCGTGTGGCTCATGGCTAAAAAATTTAGTAAATATATAATTATAGTATCTATATATGTATATGCTACACACTAATTATTTAATTTTTAAATTTCCTACCTTTAAAACATCCTGTATTTGTGCTTTGGAATGCCAGGCCATCAGCGGTTGGTTTTATATCCTGGCCTTGGATATGAATCCTTCTTTTGTCCAACTTCTGCTGCTGCCATCTGCTTATGTCCAAGTGTCCAAATGTCCAAATGTCCAAGTGTCCAATGCCCGCTTATCTGTCCCAGACAATGGACAATGTGGCCGTGGATTAGCTCAGCCAAACGGTTATTTAGCGGCATCCAGAGCGGGGATCCAACCCAGGTCCCCTGTCCCCCTCCCAGTTTCCCAAGGACTCCGCCGAATTGTGGCCACAAAGCGGCCGGTGAAGTGCGCCCAACAGCTGGCCAACAATATCCAACAATATCCAGCAATATCCAACAATGGCAGTACCAAACGACCAACGGCCAACACAAAAAGCAACAAATCGCCAACTGTAGAAACAAAATAATAATAAAGACAAGCAGCAACGTGGAATGGAGCAGCACAAAACCAAAATAGCAAATAAAATTGCACAACAAAGATGAAAATGAAACGAATGCAGGAGAAATAAGAAGACAAAGGAAGGAGCCAGGGAGTCGTGTGAAAGAATTACGGTAAAAGCCAAGACTAACGATACCTATAGGTTCGGAGAATCGAACCCAATGTACCCTATATTTACCTATATGGTATTATAATAAAATAAATATAATACATATATCTCGGTGGATGGCAGTACATTTAGTGAAAAATTTAGAAGGGTTATTTATTTAGTAGATCGTATAATACTTTTTCGTCACAAAAGTTGATATCAGAACTTTTGGGTGCTCAAGGTGCGATCGTCACTAGTTTTTTTACCTCGTAAAGAATTTTTTTTGTATATATGAATATATACCTATAATATATTATTATAAATTGATTTATTTTAAATAGGCGACACATAACTTTTCTTATTTATTCATTCTACATCAAAACGACCATACCCATATTATAGCTATATCCCCAATGTCTCCCAGTTAATATTATCTAATTCAAACCATAAATCGTAAGTCTTATAAACATATTTTGCATGTTTTCATTAATTAAGATTTATGTATGTTTTTATTTACAACAAAATGTATATTGATAATCCTAAACAAACATATTTGGCAGATCAAGAATAAATGATATATTTTTTTATAAGCAGGGTAGGGTGTTGGTAGTGTGTACTTATTCCTGAAAAATTTGTGTTGCATACTTTTTGAATACCACATTTCTTTTAACACCCAGTTTGAAAGGTACATACATTTATATATTTATATACATTTTTAACTAAAACTTCAGATGCGAACTTCCCCAACTTCTACATTTCCTCCATGCATAATTCAAGTCCAAGTGCTCAACTTTCGGCACTTTACAGGGTATCACTGATAAAGTAAAAGGCCAAGTTAGGGTCGCAAGTCGCGCACACATTTCTCACACCAAATGCAAATAAAACGACGCCTTGGAATTGAAATAGAAATAGAAAATTGCCAAACAAAAATGGCAGCATAAACTTTTGCTGTTTGCCACTTCCGTACGTCATTCGTTCTCCTTTCACCTCCTTTCTCCGTGGCTCGTAACTCTCTCACACACACACACACACAAAGAAAGGAGAAAGCAGCAAGCGAATAAGACACAGTGGCACACATACGCACAGAGTCCGCTGCTTGTCGACATTTTGGTAATAAATTGAGTTTTATGGCAGTCATATTATTCTTTATTAGTGGGTAAGAATTGTTGCCTTTTGTTGGCTTTTGTTGCCGAAACGATGTCTCAACCAGGCCAACATCCTCTGGCCGAGAGCTGAGTTCTGAGTCCTGAATAGGGAGTCCTGAGTATCCCCCCCCCCCCCCCCCCCCCCCCCTCTCAACTGGCACTGGGATATCACTCGTTCGATTCCGAAGTGGCTGCTGTGTGGTTTAATTAATTTGCCAGTGTTTCGGGGACTTTATCAAAGGACAAGAGGGGAAGGACGAGGAATGGAATTCCCAGAAGCCCTCGACCAAATCAATCAACGACAACGCCTTGTCGCCCGTATTTACTCTTTCATTTCCCCAGAACGTGGCTAGTAAATCAAAAACTCTCATCCAAAAATCGTAATTTGGCGTTAAATTAGTCTCGGGGCTAGAACGCCGCGGGAATACTAATAAGGTCAAGGCGAGTGGCGAAGTGGGATAATTCATCCGTCAATCGCACATCGCATTTTCACAGCTGTCAACGCAAGCCGAGTTGCTTATTTGGCAAAGTAGGAACCCACACACAAATGGGATTGCTTATGTACATTAAGAAAATATTTTTAAAATAAGATATATTACGAAATTTGCTTGGTGAAAACGAAATTTTAGCAATATATTTCACTTTTTATATAGCTGGGAATGAAAACTGAAATTAAAATATCATAAATTTAAAGGTATGGGGGCTACCACAGAATTTACTCGGAAAGGTGCCTGAAAGTATGCAGTTGAAAAATGAGTGTCGACTTCCGGGAGATCCATCCAGATACAAAAAAAATGTTGCACACTTTAGTACATCTCAATAAATTATGTCAAAATCTTAGTGATTTCTTTACACCCCTGAAAATAATGACTAAAAACCATTATTGATAATATTTTCACAGCTTTTTAACTTTGTGATTTTAATTATATATATATAAAATATTTTTAGATATGTGTAGTGATTTCTAGAACATATAGTACAGCGTATATATTTTAATAAATTAATCTATGGTCCCAACTTGTTTTTCCCAGTGCATAAGCACATCGCCAAGGCCATTCAATTAGCAATCATGGAGAGTCTGTCATCTCCTCGTACCTGATGATCCATGAAGCGTTCCAAGAGCGCCAAGAACTTTTGGCTTATTTCCGGAAATGAGACACTCAAGTCCTGGATCGGAGGAGCCACAAAACTGTGCATAATGCGCCGGCCGAGTGATTTATCATTCTCAGTTCCAGCCCGCGAGGCTGTCGGCCAAAACCAGCGGGCGGTACTCCACTTCGGGCCAAAAGAGAAGGGGGCCCAACCTTTTAGGCCAACGCTGAGTGCCCATTGGGTGGGGAAAGTATGTACGGCGACCAATGATTAATTGCCCAACTGTCCATTCGAGCAGAAAATTCACAAAACATTTCCATCATCAAAGCGAAACTGATTTTTTTTTGTGGAAAAGTAAATCCTGTCAACGACGAAATGGCAGCCGGACAGCTCTTCATGTCCAATGTACGCACAATGTCCTCTGGCTGTTTGAACTCAAGTTATTTCCCTAATTGCAAATATAGTTTATTTGCTTACACATTTCTTCGTTGCTAATTGCACATTCCCAACTTCAATTCCTTTAATTGCAGTCCAATTAAATGCTTAAATGCCAGCTATTTGGCTTTGCCTATCAATTTGCTTCTTCCCGAAAACAAGATACAATGAGTGAGAATGTAAACAAACTTTATGGGTATTTTGCAGAAATGCAAAGACCACGGTGCAGATGAGGCACTTAGCTATTCATTATTGGCTAAAATGACAAAATTATAAATTAATCAACCGGGAAAATGCATACTCAGTTTCCTCTTTCTTGTTTGATGATTTTCACTTCAATTTAGTTGCCTCTTTTGATGGTCTGATGTTGTTTGCCGGAACTGATATTCTTTCTTCTTGAATAATTTAGTCTGGAATAATAATTTATTTCAAGGGGAAAGCGGAATTTGTGGAATAACATGTTTGACAATTCGATTCACTAATGCGACATGACATATCTTGGACATACAATCTGTGTGAAAAAGCAAAAAAATTCATTAATTTTCTAGAACCCAATGTTCAATAATGCCTTTATAAAAATTAGAATGAGATATATAGTTAATCGATTTTCTAAAAATGAATTTTTGACGGTATGTTGACAGATTACACTGTTTAACACCAAAAATTACGTCAATGAATGCTCAAGAATCCGATTGGACTTAACTTGCAATTCTCAAACATGCTCACGAAAAAAAATCCATTGTACCAGAATCCCGACAGAAATGACTTAACAGTTTGAAAACTTCAGTTTTTGACACTATTTAAAAATCGATTACCGTGTAACAGACTTCTGTTTAGTTAATTTCTCGATAACATGGCCAGAGCTGCAAAGATTTTATCTATCGAAATTAAAATTCCAAATAAATAACATAGACTAACATATTTATTTTGACCAAAAAGTATGCTTTACAAAATGAGTTTTAAATGTAAATTTTCCTGTAAAGAGGATATAATATGTATCTAAAAGTATGCTGCGAAAAAAAAATCTTTACTTTTCGAAATCCTTCTTGCTTCCTATCTTACGTAACGCCTTATTTTCTATTTACAATTTGGAAAACTTCATGGTGCAGTTGGTAAGATGCTCGTTCCTGACTCTTGGGGACACAGGTTCAACTCCCAAGAAAGACGTCGTGAGTCTTATGTTTTGATAAAACTTTTTTTCAAAACTTAATTTGTATTACCAATTTAAAAAAATATTTTCTGATAAATAATAAGATGCAACTAAGAAGATATAAGAAATGTTAAAAAAACCTCCTTTTAATTTCGATATACGCTTTCATTTAAAATATTTTAATGGATATAAGCAACGTATAAAAATTTTCAAGTTATGAAAAATATTTCAAAATACATCTGGTAACTTAAAATAAAATATATTAAAAGAGTCACCACTGCCATAAGTGTCAGCTATCCCATTGAACAGAATTGACTGTCCCCAAAAGCAAGTAGTCAAAATTTCCGGCACTTTAACCATGAGCTTGGAGCAAAACTTGACCGCTGCCCTGTCGCAGTCGCCGGAGAACAAGGCGGAGGAGGCGTGGCCGGCGGATGCCCAACTGTACCAGCCACCGGAAGAGAGTCAACTGTTGCTTCCGGAGCGTTCCAGCTGCCTGGCGGTGAAGACCTACCTGCGTATGTGTGGCCTGCCAATTGTGGAGAAGATCAGCGACAATGCGGAGTTCATGTCGCCGGGTGGCCGGCTGACCCATCTGCCGCTCCTCCGTTTGGGCCCGGTCAAGACCTTTGCTGAATTCGAGCCCATTGTGGCCCAGGTGGAGAGCATGCAGGCGGGCCACGCCCTGGGCAGCTGGATGTCCGAGGATCAGCGCGATAATGTCCGAAGTCTGGTGAACTATGTGGAGAACGTCTTCACGCTGGCCGAGATTCACATGAGCTTCGTGGATGCGGTCAACTATCAGTGGTACACGGCACCGCGCAGTGGGGCTGCTCGTCCGTGGCCCTTGAGTATGCTCCGTCGGTGGGCCAAGCGGAAGGAGGCGATACGCATACTGAAGGTCTACCAGTGGGATGATCTGCACAACGACCAGCTGCTCCACGAGTTGGGCGTCTGTGCCGACCAACTGGTCGACCAGATGGAGCAGAACCAGCTGGAGGAGCCCTATTTCTGTGGATCGCGGCCCTGTGCGCTGGACGCCCTGGTCTTCGGCCATGTGTCAACCATCATGACCACCAAGTTGCCCAACATGGCGCTGGCCAGGGTGCTGATCAACTATCCACCTCTATTGGCCCATTGTTGGCGCATCGATCGGAGCGTGTTTGGGGGCAAAATTCTGGGCAACGAGCCGGAGGTGGAGGTGCTGGAGTAGCCAGAGTAGCTGGAGTAACTGGAGTAACTGGAGTAACTGGAGCAGCTGGAGTAGCTGGAGTGGGGCAAATAAAATTAAAGGAAGGCAGGAACAAGGGATTCTTATTGTTTTTTTATTTGGCCAGGGGTCGGGAAGCCAATCAAAAATATGCAAAGCATTTACAATAAAAACGGCGGACGAGCGGAGGGAGTAGCGGAGCCAGTGGAGCCAGAGATAAGCCAGCGCACAATCCCATAAAATACAGCAACAGACAGGGCCAACACTGCGAGAAAATCTAGGAAAAATATAGTGTTTCTCCAAAATTGCACTATTAAATAATTAACTTATATTTTTATTAAATGTTCATATTTATTTTACTTAAGCAACAAAGTAACTGACTTATTGTATAGGCACATTTAAGCATAAGGCCTGAGATGCTACAGCTTCTACCATTTTGTCTCAATAATATTTCTACATTCTACAGAACAATGTAAATTATGAAAGCTTCTTTTAAAAATAAATTGTAGCAATTTTGTCTTGCGAAAGGATAACTAAGGAAATAAGTATTCACCTCAAAACTCAAGAACTACCTTTCATGAATACCATTCTACATATAATAAAAATAACTATTTTAAAAAGATGAGACATAAATCAAGCTGTAAAAAATTTACATTTATATTATATTTTGAATTTTTTAATGACAGCATGTCTAAGCTAATTTGACTTTTCATTTTTTGTATGTTCAAACATAATGCAATTACTTACAAAGTAATTTGATTTGGAAATTAAATGACTGTTTAATCAAAAATATTTTGAATTTAATTTAATTTTACTTTTTTAATCTTAAAAATCGTTTTGCTTAAAAGTTGGACTGCAAAGTTTTTGTAAACCTATTTCCGAGTGTAGAAGGCAGTATATTCGGCGCGGGCTGGCATTCAATTTAAGTTCGCCCTTGACTTCAAGGTAGGCACCCGGGCAAACATAAAATGTCAATTCGATTTTATAACTGGCCCAAAGTCACCAATCTCAATACCAAGTCTCCTGGAGAAGGGACTATGGAACCCCCGGACTTCGGGACTCCCAAACTCCCGGCTAACCCGTGTGACATGGCCGCATCGTTCGGACAATCAGGGAACCATCATCGACATCGATGGGGTCCGCTGTCAGCCCAGTTTCCCAGTTTCCCACGTACTTTTCCATTTCCTCCAACTGCCCCCCTTTTTTTTGCTGCTTTGCAATCAGAAACTCATCATGGCCTATTGATGATTTTTTCCGTTGTGCTTCTTTTTTGTGCTTTGCCTTTTCTACGACTCCCAGAGGATAATGTTTTGGCCAATGCCATGCCGTTGGCCTTGATGCCGCCGTCTGTCTCCGGTCCTGGTAATTTATTGGAATTTGCCAAAAGGATTAAGTACGCCAATAAGCGTTGCTCAACGTCAATGAGCGCGTGAGCTCCTTTCACTCCTCCACCATCTCGTCCTCGTCGTTTTTCCAACTCGTTTTACTCCAGCCATCGGAATGAGCAACATCAGACGGCATCATCATCATCGTTGCCGCCGGCCATTTTCAGCCCTTTCGTCTGTTTCCGCTTCCGCCCCGACTTCCGGTTTGGTGCGTGTATGTGTGCGCGCTGCACACTCCGTTGCCAAAAAAATAATAAAAAGCAAAACTGATAAACGTTGCGCGTGTCGAATGCCAGCCTGATTTGTTTGGCTTAATATTTCAATTTTGGCTAGCCATCTATGTATATAGGGTCGTACACAAATCAGGGGCACTCAAGACTTCATTACACAATTTTCTGGGCAAAAAGTTGTACTTTTAAGTATATATTATAAATTATAATTACGCCAAATATACAAGGCAAACAAAAAATGTATCTTCCAACACTGGAAACACCGGGAATTGAACCCGGGACCTCTCACATGCGAAGCGAGCGCTCTACCACTGAGCTACGTTCCCTTGAAATATTTCGCATAATTTTCGTCAATTTCTGTAAAGGTTGTTTTAAGATTCCAGGAAATCAAATTTGGCCAAAAATATTGTTTTTTAATGCGGTTTTTTAATCGTAGTTTAGTCAAATCAAGGCGTACAGCTAAAGGACCGACTGTTTTGAGTAGCTTGCTACCTAAGCTAACAAACCCAATCAGTTTAAAGAAAATTTATTTTTTTTACCAATTTTGGCATTTTTTATGGGGTTGCCATCATGTTTTTTGGTGAAAAATGCAAAAATTTAATAAATTTCTAGGTTTGAACGCCGATGGATTGGAAATTAAGCAACGAGCTCAACGAGGTATGACATTCCTCGATCTGACGTTTATGTACTTCATAGCAGCCAAAAAACAGATTTTTAATGGCGAAAAAATGGGATTCAGATGTTGTCAAAAACACGACATTTAGGTTTTTAGTCAAAAATACCATTTTTCTTCGCCGTTTTCCGAATGTAGTTTGGCCAAATCAAGGCGTACAGCTAAAGGACCGACTGTTTTGAGTAGCTTGCTACCTAAGCTAACAAACCCAATCAGTTTAAAGAAAATTTATTTTTTTTACCAATTTTCGCATTTTTTATGGGGTTGCCATCATGTTTTTTGTTGAAAAATGCAAAAAATTAAAAATTTCTAGGTTTGAACGCCGAAATTAAGCAACGAGCTCAACGAGGTATGACATTCCTTGATCTGACGTTTATTTACTTTATAGCAAGCAAAAAACTGATTTTTAATGTCGAAAAAATGGGATTCACATTTTGTCAAAAATACGAGATTCAGATTTTAGTCAAAAATACCATTTTTCCTTGCCGTTTTTCAATCGCAGTTTGGTTAAATCAAGGCGTACGGCTAAAAGACCGACTGTTTTGAGTAGCTTGCTTCCTAAACTAACGAACCCAATCAGTTTAAGGAAAATTTATTTTTTGACCAATTTTCGCATTTTTTATGGGATTGGCATCATGTTTTTTTGTAAAAACTGTGAAAAATTAAACATTTCTAGGTTTGAACACCAATGGATTGGAAATTAAACAACGAGCTCAACGAGGTATGACATTCCTCATTGTGACCCTTTTTTGCAATATGCCAGCCAAAACGCTGATTTTTTTTTTTTTCCTAAAATCAGGGTTTCAGCGGTTTCACTGTTGAATTGGGCGCTCTACCACGATCCTTGAAAGCATGTTTGACATTTGTTTAATTAAGTTCAACATTTTTTGAATACAACATAAACGATCTTTCTAACGAACAAAAGATCTTCAAAACTCCCCGGAGCTCTCAAAATAATAAAAAAGGAAATGGAGACACCGGGAATTGAACCCGAGACCTCTCACATGCGAAGCGAGCGCTCTACCACTGAGCTACGTCCCCTTGAAAACAATTCAAATAATTGACAGTTTAAGTTTACCTAAGTTCAAATTTTCACAAAATACTACGAAAAACAAAAATATCAGCAAAAACGCTTTTTCTTCCTTTCCACAGGGACGAAAGATCTTCAAGAGCTTAAACCTTTTTTTCATGACTTTTTTTAAACGTTCGAACGATACTTTAAATTATCAATTGACACGTAATCAAATAAGTTGCACTGGGTAACTTATCGAAGTGTGTATGCCGACCGCTGTTGTGCACTGTTTGTGATGCGGCGGACAACCAGCAAATCTATTTTTTATGCCGGCTTATTAACTTTTTGAGTTATCGCGCTTACCCATTTCCAACTTGTGATTTTGAGAGCTGAAAAACAGAACTTTCAACTGCAAAAAAATAAAATAATTAAAGAAAAATAGAATAAAAATGGAATTTGGTTTTCGAAAACCATAAGCAAGCTCTCCCCTCTCGCAGACAAAGCTGGCACTAAAAACAATAATATAAAATATTAAAAAACTGTTAATGGTTATGGAGACGCCGGGGATTGAACCCGGGGCCTCTCACATGCAAAGCGAGCGCTCTACCACTGAGCTACGTCCCCACCTGACACCTCTTCATTAATCAGTTTCCTTCTAATTAATCATAAAAAATCTCTTCAAGAATATAAGGACTCTTCCGTATAAAGACTTTGGATTTCGCGGTTTTATTTAAAACAGTACCTTTGTGTTTAATTCGTTTTTAAAATATCACTTTCAACTATATTGTTAAAAGTTATCTCGTACTACCAACAATTCTTAAGACCACTTATTCTGGCATTACATTCTTTTACTAAATATAAATATAGTAATCTAAAGACACCCTAATCATAAGTTCTTGGTGATTTCGTCCTTATCACCGGACATCACTCACTCGATGTTTATCACTTGGCTCGTTCGCTGGATGGAACTCAGGCAATTTGTAGACGAGTAACTCAATGAAATCTGGTAGACAATCGTTTTTGGAGCTAAAATGACCAGAATGTATGAGAATGTAAACAAACTTTATGGGTATTTTGCAGAAATGCAAAGACCACGGTGCAGATGAGGCACTTAGCTATTCATTATTGGCTAAAATGACAAAATTATAAATTAATCAACCGGGAAAATTTTCACTTCAATTTAGTTGTCTCTATTGATGGTCTGATGTTGTTTGGCGAAACTGATATTCTTTCATCTTGAATAGTTTAGTCTGGAATAATAATTTATTTCAAGGGGAAAGCGGAATTTGTGGAATAACATGTTTGGAAATTCGATTCACTAATGCGACATGACATATTTTGGACATACAATCTGTGTGAAAAAGCAAAAAAATTCATTAATTTTCTAGAACCCAATGTTCAATAATGCCTTTATAAAAATAAGAATGAGATATATAGTTAATCGATTTTCTAAAAATGAATTTTTGACGTTATGTTGTCAGATTACACTGTTTAACACCAAAAATTACGTCAATGAATGCTCAAGAATCCGATTGGACTTAACTTGCAATTCTCAAACATGCTCACGAGAAAAAATCCATTGTACCAGAATCCCGACAGAAATGACTAAACAGTTTGAAAACTTCAGTTTTTGACACTATTTAAAAATCGATTACCGTGTAACAGACTTCTGTTTAGTTAATTGTTCGATAACATGGCCAGAGCTGCAAAGATTTTATCTATCGAAATTAAAATTCCAAATAAATAACATAGACTAACATAT